AGCAGAGAAGTGTATATTTTCTGTCTCTCCAAGGACAAAAACTGTCACAAGCACATAAAAGCCCCTGAAAACTATGTGCTGTCACGGAATGTCAAGTCCAAAATCAAGTGTGGCTGAGCCTCAATTAGTGGAAATCCGGTGAGGCTAGAGCCTCGCGGGCCTCAATGCCTCCGCCGCCACTGAACTAACGCTAAATTGCATGTACTATTATTTTTACTAATAGTATTAGTAAAAAGTTTTGTTGAAGATGAATCATTTCACGTTTGTCCGAAGAATTAATGATAAAGATTTCTAAATAAATGTCGTAAAACTTGATTTGAACGTGAGGTTAATAGTTCTAGTTCGAACCAGTGGCTATAATCAGAAGGAGTGGCAGCCATTGAATAATCTTCTGTTTAACCTACGGTGTATAGGTAATGAGATAAATGTCGAGGTGAGCCGTTTATCACCAGAATGAGTTAGAGATTTTATTCTTTCGTCATTAGAAAGAGCGAAGTCTCAGTTCAAAATACATGTTTAGGAAAAACAGTTTGATAAAATTTAAGTTAATTAAATTTAAATTTTAAAAGAACCGCCAATAACGGCTTGTAACAACATTTCAACCTTTTTTCGCGTTTTTCTTCTTTAAAACTACCGTATTACCACTATACAACGAGGTGGCGAGCGGAAAGTTTCAGAGAATATAGAGTAAAGTGATAAGATCTGTTGGTGGTCGTATTTTGCACCTGGCCCCGACTTCTAAAGACTTAGCGCAGGTCCAGCGAGTCCAACTCACCTAAAATTGTCTTGTAACAAGCCGCTTTTGGCGGTTCTTTTAAAATTTAAATTTAATTAACTTAATTTTATCAAACTATTTTTCCAAAACATGCATTTTGAAGCTGACGTGAGACTTTGTTCTTTCTAATGACGAAAGAATGAAGTCTCTAACTCATTCTGGTGAAAAAGGGCTTACCTCGACATTTGTCTCATTACTTATGCACCAAATTTATAGTGATTTATGACTCAGAGTACACCGTGTTTTACATCTTACGAAGAAACCACCCGAAGAATGTATCTGAAATGTTACACTATCGAGGAGAAATTTAAAGGAAAATGTCTCATGAGACTTCTATATGCTTGATTTTCACTGAAATAAAATAGAAATTCAACTTATGACTCATCATTCATTTCGGGTGAATATGTTCGATTCAATCACGAAGTTCCAAACTATTAATTAGTTCAGCAAGTACGAGTAACAACTTTCAGGAGTCATCATTCAGCTAAAAATCTTCATTTTCGGCATTTTCAACGGAAAATCTACGTTATAAAATTTAGGAGTACCATCATCGAATATAAGTTATCAGTATCTATCGATCCATGCATAATACCTATTATTTCTCTCGAGTATAATTGGGTTTTTCTGCAACCACTTGAGGATTCAGCTGGTTCTCATCAGGCATAAATTCCAAAGTGCGTAACAGAGCAAATATCAGCTTTTTTCTAATTAGAATTTCACCTCTGTCTGGAATCAAAAGTTGTAGAATTGAAGTTGCAGCCAACAAGATCACCTGGTCTGCTATTTTGCCCCTCAAGTCGAGTTCTAAAGGATGGTCTTCTATTGCGATCAGATTTTATCTCCTTCTAGTAGTCCAACGATAAATCCACGTACTTGAAATCCATCCCCTGTCAGAAGTAATCGAATAGGCAAAAGTTTTAATAAACATAAGAATGGAATAGCAGTTATAAAATGAAAAATACATAATTAATAAACATAAGAATGGAACAGCAGTTATGAAATGAAAAATACATAATTAATAAACATAAGAATGTAACAGCAGTTATAAAATGAAAAATTCATAATTAATAAACGTAAGAATGTAACAGCAGTTATAAAATGAAAATTACTTTTATTACATTCTTGTTTATGGACATCATGTGTTTTTAATTGTCGTAAATCATTTCCGTATTGACTATATTTTCTTCTATACGCAGATATACGTTCTATATAAATGCGAGATAACTCACATTGTATTTCACTTGCCATAATGAATACAATATGTTTAGTTATTTTATCATTAATTGTGGTGGTTTCATGTGTGGATAATAGCAGCGGTAAGTTATGCACACCTTTACAAATTCTTTGAATTTAAGTCTTTTCATAACTCACCTAACCCTAAATGGGAATAGCTGAGGTCAAATCTGCCTGACTGGTTCCAGTCGGACTCCATTCAGTTCTGAATGAAGTTCAGTTATTTCCATCACATATCGGATCCGGTGCTAGTCCGACTACCGAACGACATGAGATTCAATCATCAGAATACGGTCGGATGTGTCTGGAATCTGCGTTGCGATTTGTTTAAGAATTTGAGAATAGAGAAGTTTTTTTTGGTAAATTCTTCAACTTTTGCATATCGATATATACTATCCGGTATATATTATTACGGCGACCGTAAAGGTCGTCCCAAAATAGATGCTTAAAATTATTATATATGCATAATTCCAAATTTTGGCGTTTCATTTGGTGGAAACAAATATTTATGAAGATATAAGAATTTTAAGAGAAATTTGACATAATGTAAAAATTAATTTTTGATTGAACTGAAGCATATTGAGACGTGATTCTGATCTCGTTAGATTGAGCACATGAAAGGATCTTTTTCCACTATGTTTTCCCCCCTGTTTTTTCATGGAAATATAATGCAATCAAGTCAAATTATCCACTTCAGGCTTGCAACAGTACTAACCATTATTGAAGATATTATACAATATTATTGGGTATTCAATAATATTATGCAATAATATCGAGTTCCACAATACAGTGGATTCCAACTTCTTAACCTTAATATCATTTACATTCATAAAAACGCGAGGAAGCATATCCCGATCGAGCTATATATCCCAATTGGAATGTGAAAATGTATCCCGACCGGGATTAGCCATGCATCGATTAATAATCGACGTTAGGGCATTCAGCAAAGTCGTTCCGAATCAGTCAGAACACATTCAGAGCTGCCGAATGTCTCAGCTACTCGAATGTGATTTTAGTGCGTTTTCGATTTATGATATTTTCTCTGTTTATAATAATAAAATTTTTCTGGCGCTTCAGTTTTGTAGAGCAAACATTCTTCTACAACATGAGACATTCGACAGCTCTAAGTGTTTTTTTGTAACTGAGTCGGAAAGACGTTGCTGAATGCCCTAACGTCGATTATTAATCGATGCATGTCTAATTATCTTTTGATTCAAAAAGGGATATAAAGCATGCGTCTGTACTGTAGAGGTAGGCTGAACTCAGGCGACCCAATACCCAATAATATCATGAAAACCCAATATATCGGGACCACTTAACTATGAACTTTTTCTTCCTGTTTTCGTATTCATACGAAACTTAATAGTTATAAAAACATGAGTAAAGTAAAATTTGAAGTGGAAAACAAGTGATGTGCAGAGTATAGCAGAAAGTATATACTCCCGTTCAGTACTATAGTACCAGCTAAAACGTGTATCATCCGAATGATCAAAGGTCAGAATTCTGCTCATAATTGTCAATCTTTCACATCAGAAATCAATTTTTATGCAATAAAAATATTATTTTCGGGTTAGCTTTTGATTTAAAACAGGACATAGAGCATGTGTGCTGAATGAGAAGAAAAGAACCGCAAAGCTCTAAAACATAAACGGAGTTAGAGCAATCAGTTTTGTACAAACGCGTCGATATCCTCTTCGGCTTTCTAGTCACACTAGGTCCTATCTATCAGTAAATTGAATACATGTATATACACATCAGTGAGAAGATAAGTTTGAAAAACTGAAAACTTTACTTTAGCTCAAAAGCCGACAATATTATAACACAACTGATTGCTCGAACCCCCTTATGTTTTATAACTATGCGGTTTTTTTCGCTTTTGTTAAGCGCTCTGTAATTTTTAGAATCAGCATCGAGTTCTGCGTCAGAAAATAATACCAATCTGCATTTAAAAACCAAAAATATTTTGGTTAGCTGAAAGCAGAGTAGTTGCTTATTGGTACCTGAGAAACGCAACTGGTCTAAAATATTTCAGAGCTGCTTTTACTGACGCAGATTTCGGTGCTGATTCTAAAACCAACCAAACGTTTGATAACTGTTATCAAACTGACGATTAAAACTGCAAAGCGGGACACTCCGTGGAATTACTCTTTTATCATTCGCTCAGTTATAGATGAGAACAACGTGGCTAGAGATGATGGAGACCATTTGTCTCTATCACTTTTCGTTCTGAAGTTACTGCAAACGATCATAAAATCGATAGTCACAAACTTGTCATTTTTGCACTAAAAAAATGTCGCTCATTGGTAGTACGTTTTCGTTTAGCCTCATGAATGCTCAATGAGGCCACCGCACTGATACGTAATACGCAAGTTTACCTTCTATATTTCGAAAGTGAATGAGAGTAGTAAGAGCAAAGAGCGCGGGACAGAATTATGTAAGGCTATTCAATCAGTTTATGAATACTGTCATACTACTCACATATTGATTGCTTTTATGAATTGATTTGCAATTTCTATTTTACTTCAACATAGCAGAAACCATATATCCGCTCAGTACTGTAACACTAGGTAAAACGTGTATCATCCGAATGGTCAAAAGGCAGACTCCTGCTCATAATTCTCAACCCTTCACATCAGAAATCCATTTTTATGCAATAAAAATATCATTTTCGGGATCGGCATCAGATACAAAGTGGACCAATTTACATTTCGAAATTTTTAGTTGATTTTCATTTTTTGGTGGATACCTTTAAAATCTTTTCAAGCTGAAAAATATCCGACGCGGTCGGATAGAATGCAAATACATCTTAGTCGACTCAGTTGTTGATCCTGATTCCGAATATGATATTCTTTTTGCATTAAAATTGAGTTCTGATGGAGAAAATGAAAAATTACCAGTAGAATTCTGACGTTTTCGCCTGAAGTTTAGAAAACATGAATTTTCTCAGCATAGAAGAGTATTGACACCTGCTGAATCTCTCCACAGTTGCAAAATGGGTAAGTCTGTGGGTCACACATCAAGTGTTTGCCGCCGTTTGAAGGTGACTGAAAATCGTTCTCTGGCGACTCTTAAAGACATTGGTTTTATAATCGAGTTTTATTTAATGGATGTTTTTATTGTAGTTTGTGAGTTGAATGCACTTGCTACATTTGATGATATATCTGGAGGGTCATCAAATCGGAATGTCATGCCGAATGATTATAGTGGTTTGGTTTGGACTAATGCTGTCATTGTAAATGACATTGCCATATCCAGTGTCGGTTGTACTGGCTATTGTTTAATTGTCATAAATAGTCCGATGGTAATACGACCAGATAATGGCACCACATTTATACTTAATTCCTGTATCTTGGGTGCTCCTTTGGGTGATCAGAATGCAACAATAAAAGCTTATTATTTTGCCACGTTACTAAATACAACAACCGTATCGTTAACTCTCAATCAATCGATGACATTCGCACCAGACTGGCCAAGTGTTACTTCAGTTACATTCGAATCTAATATGGGCTTAACAGTCGATAATATTTCTGTAACTCTTCAGGACACATGCGCTTCAGGTGAGTATTTTATTCAATTTGAAACTCATTTGACGTTTTCTGCATGATGTTTCCCGCTAAACTCGATATCAATCGATGCATTCGATTTCCCTCGCCATTTGCTATCCAATGGCGGTTGAATTAAGCACATCAAGTGTTTGCCGCCGTTTGAAGGTGACTGAAAATCGTTCTCTGGCGACTCTTAAAGACATTGGTTTTATAATCGAGTTTTATTTAATGGATGTTTTTATTATAGTTTGTGAGTTGAATGCACTTGCTACATTTGATGGTATATCTGGAGGGTCATCAAATCAGAATGTCATGCAGAGTGATTACCGTGGTTTGATTTGGACTAATGCTAATTTTATAAATGCCATTTCCATACCCAATGCCGGTTGTACTGGCTATTGTTTAATTGTCAAAAATGAACCATTGATAATACAGGCAAATAATGGCACCACATTTATACTTAATTCCTGTATCTTGGGTGCTCCTTTGGGTGATCAGAATATAACAATAAAAGCTTATTATTTTGGCATGCTTTTGATTACAACAACCGTATCGTTAATCCTCAATCAATCGATGATATTCGCACCAGACTGGTATCGTGTCACTGTAGTTACATTCGAATCTAGTATAGCCTTAACAGTCGATAATATTTCTGTAACTCTTCAGGAGACATGCGCTTCAGGTGAGTATTTTATTCAATTTGAAACTCATTTGACGTTTTCTGCATGATGTTTCCCGCTAAACTCGATATCAATCGATGCATTCGATTTCCCTCGCCATTTGCTATCCAATGGCGATTGAATTAAGTCTTACTGACTACTCGTTCAATAACGGTACCGAATAGAAGTTAAAAAGCAAGCGTTTTGATTTCACTTCTAGAAACTGCTCTCTGAATTTCAGTAACAAACACCGTATTGTAGACAAGGCGAGATCTGCATCACATTTTCTAGTAGCTCTTTGATTGTCGAGATCCTAGTGGAATCCAATATATCTAGAAGGTGAAACTTGAAATATGAGAAAGACACTTATTAATAATGCCAGCTTGTAGAGAATTACGCATAAATTATTTTCGAATGCTGGGTTGCATAATCTCCTACTCATTCATAGCGAATCAGACAAATTATTTTTGGTCCATTTTGGAAGGAAACAGTATACATATTCTGTTCGGTTTTTGCACGTAGATTCCGAGTCCGGCGTCTGCTTCTTGGTGCCTAGTCTAGTTTTCGAAAAATAGATAAAAAACTGGTTTTACGTGGAAATTAACGCCTTTTATTGCTTTCTCTCTTTTTTATCGTTCTGAATATATATGTTTTTCTTTCCATTTTCTGTTTTCGTATTTTATCGTGTGAACGAACAGAAAAAGGAAAAGAATATCCATCTAAGCTTGTATCAAGCACTACTGTTACTTCAGTTCAGTATACTTGTTCGAAATAGAATTGATATAAAATATCAATTTTTTCAATTAATTGAAAATTTTATTAGTTTTAGGACACAGCGTCTATTAGGGAATGTAAATATGCCTTAATGCAATGTGTAATTCATGCATCAGATAATGAGTATGAAGAGACCTTCTAGTATAAAACCTGGCATCGATTTATTGCGTCCACCCCAAAACAACACGATACTTCGGCTTCTAGATCTAAAAATTGCACGCGACATCTAAAAACGGGTGCAAACTTTATTACAAAGAGTTGGAAAAGTCGGAGAAAGTTGACCCACTTACATCAACTATCATTCCCATCCCCATTACGCGGCTATAGGGTACCCCCCTCAAGTTCATAACTTTACCATAAATCTGGCTGAATACGCACTAAAGTTGTTGAATAAAGGACCTAAATATGTACGTGCGGCACCGCTTACGAATCGACATAATCCAGATGAGCGATAAATTGACTGAAGCTCTTAGAGTACGAGTAATGGGTAGCACCATAAGCCCGAAAATAAATGAGTTTTGTGCCAATGTGGAAAATGCAATGTAAAATCGGTTAAGAAAAGAAAAAATCGATAGCGATCTCTTCTGCACCAGCAGCAACGCTCTGGTTTGCCCCACATGCTGAAACATTCTCTTACAAATGAGGCTTCTTGAATAATTTGAAAGAACGTAGAATCAGATCGGTTTATATCACTACAGTTCCAGTAATAATTCCAGCTCCAGCCTTTTTCCTTTAGGCCAATGGATGTCTACTGGACGCATGGCAACTGCACGTTCCATGCATACTGCAACCTTGCTCAATTCGGGCAAAGTTCTTGTCACCGGTGGTTTGGACCTACATTTACTCGCGAGTTGTGAAATATATGATCCATCAACGAGCCTCTGGAACCCTACAGCAAGCATGGCAAATGTGCGTTATTATCATACTGCAACCCTGCTCAATTCGGGCAAAGTTCTGGTTACTGGTGGTTGGGGACTAGATTTACTTGCGAGTTGTGAAATATATGATCCATCAACGGGCCAATGGAGCATTACTGCAAGCATGGGAAATGCACGTGATTTGCATACTGCAACCCTGCTCAATTCGGGCAAAGTTCTGGTCACTGGTGGTGTAGAATCGTTGTCCAGTGCTAATAGTAATTGTGAAATATATGATCCATCAACGGGCCTCTGGAGCTTTACTGGAAGCATGAAAGAGCCACGTCGAATGCATACTGCAACCCTGCTCAATTCGGGCCAAGTTCTTGTCACCGGTGGTAGAGGATTGTCGACGCATTATCTTAATAGCTGCGAAATATATGATCCATCAACCGGCCTATGGAGCCCTACAGCAAGCATGGCAAATGTGCGTCAATATCATACCGCAACCCTGCTCAATTCGGGCCAAGTTCTAGTCACTGCTGGTGCAGATTCGTCGTTTAGCTTTCTTACTAGTTCTGAAATATATGATCCATCAACGGGCCAATGGACCACTGTTGGAAGCACGGCATATGCACATATGCAGCATGCTGCAACCCTCCTCAATTCGGGCAAAGTCCTTGTCGCTGGTGGTGAAGTATCGTACATAAATCCTAGTAAGATTTCTGAAATATTTGATCCATCAACGGGCCAATGGAACACTACTGCAAACATGGCACATGCACGCATGCAGCATGCTGCAACCCTACTCGACTCCGGCGAAGTTCTGATCACTGGTGGCGGAGAATCTACTTGTGAAACGTTCAGTTCGTTTATATAGACTAAAGTAGGAGTTTTTGACAATTAATAATAAATCTGGCTTCAACTATCTATTCTCTTATTTTTATTTTTATTCTGTTTTTATTCAGATCGAAAGTATGTACTATTTAACTGCGCTTCTCCAGGATTCAAAGAAATTTAAAATTTAATAAAGAAAGGTTTGCTTTATTCCCCGGGTCATGCAAATTTTCCCTTTCCTGCAAAGTCATTTTTAAGCGTGACGTACTTTTTCCGTAGAATATTAGAAAAGCAGGAATTCTATTGAATGCACATCGAGAATTCACTTTTGCTCGCCGTCACACAAATTCCTACACTGAAGCTAATGCGGGCGATCAAGTGATAAACAATTTAGTAAATCACAGATGATCTGAAACTCGGTAACGAACTGGGCAAAAGCAACAATTCTAGGAAGCGGCAAGAAAGAAATTCAGGTATTGAGCAAAGTAAGAGGTCAAACAAGTAAAAATTAAGGAATTCAGGAATTTAGAAAATCGGTTTTTTGGTGTTTTCACATTTTCCGCTTCAAAATTTTTCCTCTCAAATAATTATTCTAGAATTAATAATATCAGATAAAAATTCTTTCGCCATTAAATCGGCCGTCACTCGAAGTATATGAAACACTATTTAAATTACGAAAAAGCAAGCTCACTGTTTTTTTCTAAATTTCCACCTGAATGTCCACTGTGAATAGCCATCATGTAGTCCTTGAAATATTTTGCATATGGGCTATACTTATGATTCCGCATCATTACAATCACCGGAAAAATCATTATCTGTTATAAGGTGCGCGCAATTCAAAAATCGAGCACTATCTTAGTTCTCGGTTAGAAGCTACATATTCCGATAGTCCTGACTGAGCTGATTCCGAATATCACCTTTTGATTTAAATTCAATAAGTTTTCGGGTGGAGATCCTCAAAATACTGAGAGCACCGAAAAGACAAAGGATTTGCATCGCTTTTCTTTCTAATATTCATATCTTACTGTGAATACCCATTTTTTCCATTCCAGTGACAAAATCACCAAAAAACGAGGTCGTATTTTGAGTTTTTGACTACAAAAAATGTATCTTCAAGCCAAATGTGCATGATGTTCGGAATCAGTATGAAAAACTGCATCGAATAATCTATATTTTATCAAAAACTATTTTCCGTCAAAAGCAAAACCCTAGGGGACCTCATGGAAAAATTCAGTAAAAATACCTGAGGAGGAGTACGGCTTGGATTTTGACGAAAAATAGTTTTTGATAAAATATAGATTATTCGATGCAGTTTTTCATACTGATTCCGAACATCATGCACATTTGGCTTGAAGATACATTTTTTGTAGCCAAAAACTCAAAATACGACCTCAGTTTTTGTCGATTTTGTCACTGGAATGGAAAAAATGGGTATTCTCAGTAAGGTAAGAATATTAGAAAGAAAAGCGATACGTACTTTTTTTCAGCTTTAAATGGCGATTCGAAGATTCTAGACATATCCTATGCAAAATCCTATGCAATTCTATTCATATCAAGAATACCTCAGAGTCGTACAATTGGCTAAGATCTGTTAGGATCCAAAACAGGATCCTAGATGAACACAGCATTCTGCTAGAAAGTTATTAAGAATTCTTGAGCGTTAATAAGAATGTAGTACATAATAGACACGAAGTGGATAAGATTCTGTCTAGTATAAAGGCAATGCTATTATCCATCCCAAAATAGATGGATATGCGGTTTTCAGCAATCGAATGATGACAGTTTAAGGTGTGCTTTCATAAGCAAAATCATCTTTCGAAAACATTCTGATGATCGATTTTCTACAAGATCTTTGGAAAACCAGCTCGAATTTCTATAAACCGACGTAGTAATCGATCGATCTTTTTTCGTAAATAGATAGTCCGAAGTGTTTTCTGCAAAATAAGATCTAGGCAAATGCTTGGCTTTGCTTGATTCTGGTGCTATGCTGCACTATGCTGAATCTCGTGGCAACCTTTGTTTTTCAAAAACGTTTCAGAAACCTGGTGAAAACGTATATTAGGTGAAATATCCCATTTTTGCCTATTTTTCAATAAAATCAAAACATTTATAACCGATTCAAAAACCATCCAAATTATGTCAGAATATGAAGATGTACTCTATTTTACCTGATGAATACTATGCAGTTCAACAAAACCTTTTAAAATCAACGGTAAATATTTCGGTTTTTGAAAATCTTTTCTAAAAATCTTCTGAAATAGAAGAACATTTTTTACTAGTCTCAAGTAAAAAATCGTTTGGAGAAGGTAACATAGAGTCCATCTTCATATTCTGACATAATTTGGATGGATTTTGACTCGGTTATAATTTTTATTTTTATAGGCCAAAATGGGATATTTCACCTAATATACGTTTTTACCAGGTTTCTGAAGCTTTTTTGAAAAACAAATGTTGCCACGAGATTCAGCATGGTCGACAACCTATGTTTTCATGCATTTCTGGTAGTCGAAACCTAATGATAGAGAAGTCGTGATGCTTCGGGGAAAAAGTCCGTAGCGTCCGAATCAAGCCAAACCAAACATTTGCCTAGATCTTATTTTGTAGAGAGCACTTCGGACTATCTGTCTAAGAAAAAAAATCGATCGATTACTACTAAAATGGTGAAATATCCCATTTTGGCCTAAAACAAAGGTTGCCACGAGATTCAGCATAGTGCAGCATAGCACCAGAATCACTTTCCAAGAATAACTTTCTAGCAGAATGCTGTGTTCATCTAGGATCCTGTTTTGGATCCTAACAGATCTTAGCCAATTGTACGACTCTGAGGTATTCTTGATATGAATAGAATTGCATAGGATTTTGCATAGGATATGTCTAGAATGTTGATAACGTGTGAGGAAGGTCATTTAACTTTTAGTTTAGAATTTTGCTTTTCTTATGATTCATTATAAACGTATAATCTATTTATTTGTTTCATTGGCTTCCATAAAATCTTCATTAGAAAAGGCTCTTCATATGACAAAATTGGTAAACTCTAGAATTTTCTAGTCAACCTCTCAATTGTAAGTATAGAATTTTACTCATAGACATATTCAAACACAATACAACACAGTTGTTAAATAAATACAATACAACGTAAAAAAACCCACAAAGATCAACCCCAAATCAACGCAAGGATACTTACAAAAAATTACTTCTAGGACAGTAAATGAGGATTATTTTAAGATACAGTGAAGAAATCGTTAGTTTATTGCACGTTTGTGTCTGATCGGATCCTGTCGTTAAAATGCATCACTACTATGCCGTTGTTAGCTAACTGCTTCCGCTTAGTATCATAAAATATGCGGATAGACTTAAACTCTCCTTTACTATCGTCCAATACCTTGACATTAATACTATTTCAACAAGTTATATCTATGCTAATAATGAATAAGACGCGCAAAGCACTAATTACTATCCATGAAAATTCTCATTTCGGACTGTCCTATATCCCATTGGAATGATAAAGCATTAGCTCGAACTTATGGTAAATGCTATTCTATATGAAATTATTTCTAGCTGTGTATCTATCTAAATATAACTATTTATCAGTAGCACAATAAAGCGTAAAATAATAAGTAATGCGTCAAATTCGAAAATATATCGTTGTAAACGTATTAGTAAAATTTTGAATGTCAACCTGGTCCGGATTCTAATCTTGGCTCCGAGATAGATGTCGAATGAAATATTTTCGAATTTTACACATTATTTCTTATTATTTTACACTTTATTATCCTACTGATAAACAGTCATATTTAGATAGATACACAGTTAGAAATAATTTCATATAGAATAGTATTTACCATAAGTTCGAGTTAATGCTTTTTCATTTCATGTGAGAATTTTCATGGATAGTAATTAGTGCTTTGCGCGTCTTATTTAGTATTAGCTTAGATATAACTTGTTGAAATAGTATTAATGTCAAGGTATTGGACAATAGTAAAGGAAAGTTTAAATCTATCTATATATTCTGTGACTCAAGAAGAATTATAATAGAATCAAGTTTTAGAATAGCTGATGACTGTAAAAGTTTTCTTACTAAACAAGCAGTTAAGAAGAAAAACAAGTTAACAGAAATTTTTGATATATTAAAAGAAACGTGACAAACGTTCTAGTAGATGAATGAGTCATACTTATATTTTCACATTCTAACATGTACTCACTGCATCATTATCTTAACAAACGAGTGTATGATATCAGTCCAAAACAAATGTACTTATATAACACGCGTTTATAGAATAATTTTATCCGATGTACGTTATCAGCATACATTTAGTAGATCATTATAGTGTATGTTTCAAATATTCACTGCAAAACACTTAATTCATACTTAAAATAATATGGCTGTTTTATTATTACCACTGTAATAACTTTGACTTGTAATTAAAAGCCGGTAGTAAGTAATATGTGGCTGATATATAACTATCCAGAAGACTCTGAATAATCAACTTAGAGGTATCTATGTTATAATAGCACGGTGAGGATAGTTAGAAACATATTGGACTCCACCAAAGCAAGAGTGAGAAAGCCTGATGTTACCTGGAATTTGGATAAAATGATTTTGGAGTCGAAAAAATTTTGAAGAAGCGTTAAATGAGTTAATGAGAACTCTTTTCGAAGTTTTATTCCTGCCCAGAATCTCTGTGAAACGATCAACCAATTTCTCAGTCTTGAGGTGAGAGATAAACAAGTAGGCATGCAACAGTCCGAATCTAGGACTCGCTGATCGGCAGCGAACGGCTCGTTAACGAAGGTTTAAAAAATATAGTTTGCCAAAGCTAAGAATCCGAGAGCCAAAAAAACATTAAAGAAATTCCTGTAAAACAGATAAAACGGTGAAGATTACACTAAACGGAAGTACAGCTATGATTACGCCGTAGCCGTAGGTAGTCATGTAAAGAAAAGTTTGAATTAGAGCAGCAACTTTATATTTGTTTTATTACAGTAAGTTCAAAGTACCTTTAGTTTCCATTATATCTTATTTACTCGCTAACTAAAGCATACTTTACTTATGTGACTTCTGTAGTAGGTTGATTTACTTTGTTTGCATGCAAAAATGCTTTTCCCCACTGTACAAATAAAGTAGACAGAAAGTCGTAGCCGTAATTCGAATGTATTTTTATAAGGTTTATAGTACTTTCTTCTAATAGTTCCTCTCCGATATCCCCGATGAGAAAAATATAAACTATCGTATCTTCCTGCGAACACGTTCGGTCGCATCAAGTTTCCAGGCTGAACACGTTCGGACACTGGACTATGGGATTGGTGCATGCCTATAAACAAACAAGCAGACAGAACCAGAGACCTGTAGGTTGCCACTTTTCGGCACCCTATAACCTAATCTAGACAATTTTCACAATCTAACCGTAACCTATAACGTCGGCAACCTAGTCCTAATCTATCCTGTGCTTTTTGTCGAAAAAAATTAAAACACAATCTAGAAACTAATCTAACCTATAACTTTTGCAACTTAATCAGATAGGATTAGTAAAATGAAATGAAGGAATTACAAAAGTATATGTTTCACAATTGTCTGCACCTAAGTAAGTTTTCAAAAAATCTCTTTTGTAGGTAGGTTTAGTCCCGTAAGCTGTTTTTACTCAACAGTCCATCATCAACTCTTAAAAAGATATGTTTATCTTCCTGTGAGAAAGCTTTTAACAGCATTTATGTCGTGTCTGATAGACAGCGGTGACTTTATATTCGCAGTCGAGATCATAGTTAGAGAACTAAGATGCAGATACGTCGAAAGATTGTAATTATTATATATAATTACAATCCTACAATAATACTTATTGTATTATTCAACATTACTTTTGATTTTATTCCATTTTAGGTTATGTCCTGAGTCATAAATGAACTTAAAAGTTGCTGATTTATTATCTACGCATACCATCTGTCCATTAATAGCCTATAACTACCTCAAGAGATCAAAGCAGGTCATTGCTTACAAACTTTTCGAATTCTGACTCGAATGACCCCGAAATTTTTTGTCGTTCATTTGACAGTGATCAGAAGCAAAAAATCGTTTTCTGGAATGTATATTGTCAAAGTATATCGGGAGTGCACATGGCGCAGAAAGATAAAGCAGAACAGAGTGTCTTCTCGCTAGACACAGACTTATATTCGGAAATAAATACCTAAAACACCTGAAAATCTGCTCCTGTCTTTCAACATGAAAATAAATTTTGCTTATCTAATGTGATCAGTTTCGGTCTTCGGTAACTTCTGTTCAAAGAGAGTTTTTATTAACAGGTTCCTACTGTCCTCTCTCTGTTGTACCTATTTCTGAGAATGAGAAGTTCGGTGCTCAGAACGACGAAAAGTATTTATCACGCGAACCAAGAAATGATTGCTCTTAGAGTATTTTCCGATACATAAAAATGGAGACACGAAACGTTTAAGATTTAAAAAATGTATTGTCTTCTAGTTTAAGAAAAAGTTTGAGGTAACGGAAAAACATTGTGTAACCAAATGCGCTCTTAAATATAATCCCTATCGTTGTATTGTTTTCAGATATATCCCAATAAAATATCATCAATAATAAAAGAACAACATGGAAAAGCAAGAAATGCCAGTTACAAACATGAATGATCGTAATGCTCATGCTATATCAGCTAGTCGTAGTATTTGTCGAGCAATAAAACAGAGTGATGCTTCTTTAAGACAAAAATATTCATTTTTATACCATCAAGATTTAATTTGTGCCATAATCTTCATCGGTTCATTATTACTAATTTCGTTATTCTCATATCTTTATTTATCTAATTATATTTCTGCTATCTCTGCTATATTGTTAACAGCATTACCATTATCATTGTTACATGAATTAGAACATGATATTATTCATAATTTATATTTTAAGCAGTATAGATGGATTCAAAATATGATGTTTGTATTTATATGGTTAGTAAAATTACACGGTTCACCATGGTATCGGCGTCAATTACATTTAAAACATCATCTTTTATCTGGTCAAACAAATGATGCTGAAGAACGGTTAATAGGATTAGGTTTAGCACCAGATTATAAAAGAATGGCTGTTAGCTTACATCCGTTTGGTGGACTATTGGTCAGTGATGATATTAGTAAAGATGCAAAATATATTGATTTAGTTACTATGAAACTCAAAAATGCACCAACGGCTCTCATATTCTTTTTTATTACTAGAACTTTCATTACTTATAACATATTATTCTTTATTTATTATTGGTTAAATTACGATATTCATACAATATATGGTATTCATACATTTTATCCAATTATTCATAATTTGGCTATTTGTTTATGTTTTCCAAATTTATTAAGACAAGGTTGTTTAGTAGTAATGTCAAATTCGACTCATTATTATGGTGATATACCGTTGAATACTGTCTATTATCAAAATCAAATATTAGATTCATGGTTTGTATTTCCATTTCAATTATTTTGTTTTAATTTTGGTGCGACACATATTGTACATCATTATGTTGTTTCACAACCATTTTATATTCGACATTTCACAGCTAGATCAGTAAAAGATATGATGGTTAAGTCAGGTATACGTAGTAATGATTTTGGTATATTATGGCGTAGTAATCGTTATACTATTGATCTAAAAGAAGATGAGAAACAAAAGTTATATGGTAAATGCTGGTTCGGTGCATGCTTGCTATTAGGTTTTCCTTTGTATATAATATGGGATATAATGGTCATGCATAAATCAAATAAAAATATACTAAGAGTAATTAGTAAAAGACTATCAAAAGGAAATAGTAATACCATAAAACAACTTGATAACGATATTGGTAACGAACTAACAACTAATAAAAAAACTGATGAGAATAACGATACAGTAACAAATGGTTGTGTAAACAGGTTGAATACATTGGTCAATAACATAACATTATTCGATGTGTCGGCAGATCAAGTGGAACAAGTGAGTGATGCTGCAGTTGAAGCTTAACAAAAATTATCATCCAAAATAATTTATTTTTTTGTTTTTAATTGCTTCACTTCTTCTTAGTCCTTGTCTAAATATATTCTTTACTTAATCAGGTCTGAATTTTCTGTTTAATATCCTTTCATCCTTGATCCGAATTGTCTAGCGTATGGATTTTTCAGCTGTATAACAATCACTTTATTTTCAACCATTTTTTTGATAAGAATCAGTGTACCTTAAAATTCTGAATTTTATAGAGTGAAACCATCATTCATACTTCATTGCAGCACAGTAACATTATTATTGTTGTTTTCTATCTACTTGAATTTTGTAATAACAATTATAAAACCTTTATTCATTTTTTGAAATAAAACATTGATTCAGCCACCCAACTGCAAAGATAATACGTCACTGACGCAACTAAAAAGTCAAGAGAAAGGCAAACAAAATACAGAGGGAAAATAACTTGTATCTCACAAGTTTGAAACGGCTGGTATAAAATTGTACGGTATCATTTGGTATGTGAGACCTGTGCTAACCGTACATTACAAATTATAGAGTTTTATGTTAATGCTCCATAACCATAATAGATGGCGTTGCTGCCGGATGTGTTTTCATGATAAGTTCATTCGATTCATTATATGCTTCTTTCTAAAATCAGGCGGTTTGCGTGACGTAGAGTCTAGAATGCTACATACTTTCGTTTTGTTTAGGTTAGCATTCTGAATAGGCGCTTGATCAACCGTGTTCTGATTTTAGACATCTGGTCCCAGTGTGTAATTGCGCTATATGATGTGGACATTTCCTATAACTTCTCAAAAAAAGCATTCGAGAGTTTAAAACGGCACTTCTTTTCAGTTTTATTCTCGTTCTAATGATTTAAGGAAATAAATTACGGCGTGCTTTCTTCATAATATTCCAGAGGAATATGGGAACCTTATATTTCGATGCCGACGTAAGATTTTTCCATCAAAAATGGTATTCCGTGATCAGAAATCATTTTATATTGCGCATAGAACCACTTTAAAGCGAAAAATGTATTTTAGAAAAATTTAGTTTGGATCAAAACGGTTTAAATCGTATCTAAATTGTTTCTCAAAGCTTTTTCTGATATATGACGTCTAGGGCTGCTACATTACTATTACTTTTTATTACTATTACTCGGTAATAAGTAATAATTATTATTACTTTTATTACTTATTACTTTTCATCACTAATTGCTTTATTATTTATCATTTTAATACTATT